ATAGATATATAGATTAAGAAGAATCTATTCATATAAGAAAACTGTCAGTAATTAGATAGAGCAGCATCTGTCCTTATAGACATGGTTTTCTATATATATGTGCATCTTGAGTCACTATGGCTTATCTAATATATAAACTAATCAAGCAAGTTAATATATAGACTTTGAGATAGGTTAACTATAGTATAGGTATTGGTGGAATATGTGTATTATGAGATATAATAATCACTATAAATACAAACGTTATTTGATTAGTATATTAATTAAGCTTTAGTATGCTTGGAGTGTCTCTTCTTGTCAGTTCGGTCTTATAGGATATCTATCATATCTCTTGACTGTGACTAGGGTATGCATATGAACATATATATACCTGAATGTGGGCCAATTCGATGCCACCCGGTGGCATCATCTCGTTGTTGTTGTTGTTGTTGTTGTTGGCGTCTGATGGCCGTTTGCCAACTGGCAGCAACAAAAATATGAGAACTAACAGCGGTGGCATGAGGCATATGCATGAGGCATATGAGGTGACAGCCAGACCAGAGTGAGGGAGAGAGAGGGGGAGCAGAGTGTGTGTGGAGGCGGTAGGCGTGGCGCAAGTAGCAGTAGCAGCCAAGGTGTGCGGCAATTGCTGCTGCTGCTTCTGCTGTTGCTATTGCCTTTTTATTTTTATATGTTTGGCCCACATGAAGCCGAAGCAAAGGTAGAGACAGGGGCGTCAGGTGAGACACCGCCAGCGATCACGGAAAGGGGGCGGAAAGGAGAAACAGATAGGCATTGCAAGAGAGAGCGAGAAAGAGAGTTAAAGAGTGTCTGTGTTGCATTTCCTGTTTGTCTTTGTTGATGAATTTCAAATTAATTTGCACAATTTGCCGACTGTCCAGCGTGGGCAGAGCCAGAGCGAGAGAAAGAGAGAGAGAGAGAAAGACAGCAACGGCAGAGGAGCCAGCGACAGAGGCAGGGGCAGATTACCGCTCATTAGGTGGCCCATTAGGGCGCCCACATGAGCCGTTTGCAACTGTTTGCCGGCATGAAACGAGCGCCAGCGGGCGCAAAGGCAGCTGAGGCAGGTAAAGGTGACACAAGCACCGCCCCGCCCCTTAAAGAAACCAAGAAAAAAAACCAAATCTAAATTGGAAAGCAACGGAAATAGCCACAAAAAAAGATCTTAATGAACGCAGCTGCAGGGTGTTGGGGGGCTGATGAATGCTTTTTATGATGAATTGCTCCAAAAGTAGCTCGTTAGGTGCGAGCGGGACAGATGGAGAGAGAGAGAGCAGCGAAAGAATAGACAGTGAGACAGCGCGCGAGCACACACAAAGCGTAGCAACAACAACGACAACAACAACAATAATAACAACCAGAAAATGAATGCAAATTGAAATTCCAAGATCGAAATCAAAGATGGCGACGCACCAAAAACAAAGGCGCGCACAATCCAAAAACAAAAGACGGCAACACATATAACGAGAGACAACAGAAATTTAATGCAATGAAAATCAAATAAATTGCAATGAAAAGGCAAACAACAGCAACGGCAACAGCAACAACAATGTCAACGATAGCAATCACTAAACATGGTGGGCTTACAGTTGTGCTGCCCGCGCCGCTGCCGGCAGCACTTAACGAGAGCGTCTCACCAAAAGTGAAGCATTTGAAAAATGCATAAGGAGCCATGCAAATAAACCGATGGCGCAGCACAAGAAGCAGAAGAGGCGGAGAGAGCAAGAGAGCGCGCGCGCGCAGGCTGAACACCAAAAATGGACAAAAACGCAACGGCATAAACGAAAAGAATGCAGCGAAGACAGTGAGAGCACGCGCACAGGAGAGAGCGAGCAAGAGAGTGAGAGCGAAAATAAAACGAGCCTCACTCTGGAAACTGGAAGTAGCGGCAGGCGAGCTCACCTTATGCGAAAAACAAAAAACAAAAAAAATAAAAAAACACAAAGTGGTGACTGCAGCTCAAACAGCAACGCATAAATTTTGGAGCATGCTGCGAGCGCTTGTCGCTGTTGTTGTTGTTGTTGTCGATATGTAGCTATATTATTTTTTGCATGTTGCTAGAGAACCAGCTGCAACTGCCAACGGGGCGCGTGTCCATGTGAATGTCATGGATGTGAATGGAATGGGGCTGGAACCTGGTGCTTTCACCCGTGGAATGCGAGCAGCAGCAGCAGCAGCAGAAACAAATTAGCTCAAATGTTCAAGCCGCAGGGCAACGTTGCTGTTGTTGTTGCTGTTGCTAATAATAACAGCTGGCAGCAAAGCGAGCTGCAGCAGCAAATTGCATGAGATGCACATTAATTATGACAAAGGCAAATGGCAGCAGCAGCAGCAACAACAGCCGCCGCAGCAGCTACAAAGTGACAGCAGCAACGGCAGCAAACGCCTCGCATGCTTCACACGCCCCCACACAACGGCAACAAATACAACAAAAGCTGCGCTATCATATAGGCTGCTACTGTTGTTGTTGTTGTTGTTAATGCAGCTATTTCCAATAAATGGCACAGCTAGTGAACCAAAAACGTGTCGCGACTGGAATGAGTCATCGTCATCATCATCGTCATGGTCATCAGCATATTTGGTCAGCAACATGTCAGGCAACAGCAGCAACAGCGGCAGTTGGCAACATTTGGTTTGGCAACAATTAGCGCAATGTTGCAACATTTTGTTAGAATGCCTTTTATAGTCAAAGTTAAAAGAATATATGAATTTTTGTTCCGCTCTTGAACCGGTTCACTTTGCAGCAAGTATTATTTGGCTTAGCAATATATTGCTGTTGCCAAGCTAATTCGCTGCAAATTTGAATTTGCTATTATAAATCTGTTCGCGAACCGGAACGAAAAATGTCGGTTCCTCAACACGTTGAGTGCAAATTTCGAACCGGTTTGCGCAAAAGCCGAACCGATTCGCCTAACCTCACTTTTTCACAACGCATTTTTGTGGTTTCGTTGAGAATTGTAAAATATTTATGAAAAATGAAATAAACAGACTCTCACACACACACACACACATACACATAGATGTCGCGTCGTTTCTCTTGTATTTTATTTTCATTTTTATTGTTGTTGTTGCAGTTTGTACAACAAATGTTGTTGTTTTTTATTTCCCAAAAAATGTTGTTGTTTTTTTTTTTTTACATTTTGTTGTATTTTTTTCACGCGCTGTTCGACTTGGCGACATTTCAAAATATTTTTGAAAATTATGGACCAACAACTGCAGAGGCTGCGTAGACGGAAATGAGGACGGTGGGGTCAGCGACGGGCGGGCGGCAGGGGGAGGGGGTGTGGTGCTGATGGAAGAAGCGGGAGGTGTGGCAAGCGGTAGATCACAAAACATAAATTAATTAAAAGCAAATTTTAATGCACAATGAGACAGAGAGGCGGAAGGAGAGACTTAACATCATCTGTCTCTCTCTCACTCTCTCTCTCTCTCTCTTTCTGTTTCACTCTCCTTCTGTGTCACACGCACTTTCGCTGCTCATTATTATTTATGGATTTTTTGGCACATTTTTCTTTTGCGTCCGTCAACCCGAAATGATTTCGAGTTATTTATGACATGTTTCCACTGTAGAGGGGCGCAGGTGGGTGGCACCAGGGCTGGGGAGGGGGAGGCGTGGCTGTGCTGCAATGTTAGCTCGAGTCGTGTTCACAATTTAATGTCTTTTTAAATGGACAAGCGAACACTAAAAGGGACTTCAGCATAGATCCACACACATTAGGGGCACTCAGCGCGCTCCAGCGCATTTTTCCACCTCTGATTTATGCAGCATAAATATTTGGGGGATTTTCGTGGGCTTTACGCTCTTATTTGTAGTATTTCGATTAATGCGCAAATAAGTAAATAACATTTTATCACCATTTTTTATTTGTATTTTATATGTTTGTTTTAGTATTTTTTCATTATTAACTTGTTTGATTTTCTATTTTTGAAAATTTTATTTGAATTGAAGTCTAAAAGTCGGTTGACAAATCTTATGAAATCTTATTTAGCTTGCCTTAAATTAAGTTCAAATCAATTGTTCAATCATTAAGTAGTTTATAAATTTGGTTAACTAGATTGCATATTTTCACCAATTAATTTTGAACTATTCACATTGAATGACCCTAATGTACTGACCAATGCTCTTTTTTTCTCACCTCTTTCGCTTTTTTATAGTTTGTCATTACATGGCGAAAAGAATATAACTTATTTATATATGTATATGTATATACTATATACATATATTCATATGAGACTGTATTTATTATCTGAAATAGTTTGCACGATATTTTTTGAGACCACCCTCGTAGTTGAGATGGTTGAACTCTGTGCCTAGATCTTATTACTCTCTCTCTCTCTCTCTCTCCCTATCTCTCTCTCTCTCTCTCTCTCACACCTCTCTCTCTCTCTCTCTCTCTCTCTCTCTCTCTGTCTTAACCTCTCTCTGCCTCCCTTTCTCTCTCGCTCTCTTTACCTTTCTATCTTGTCTCTTTGTGTCTCTCTATCTACGTCTGTTCTCTAGCTGTCTATCTACTTGTCAGTCTCGTTCTATATATCTCTCTATCTCTCTTTCTTTCTCCCTCTCCCTCTCTCTCTCTCTCTCATCACACTTTATTTCTATCTCTCTATCTCTCGCTCTCTCTCTCTTTCTCACTCTCTTTCTCTCTCTCTTTGTTTTGGTCTGTCTCTCTAACTGTCTCTGTTCTCTATTAACTGATTTCTTTCTCTGTACATATTTCTCTCTTTCTCTCTCCCAGTCTCTGCTTTGCTTTTCTTATTCTATTTCTGGGCCTTCTCACTTGTTGCCTTGGCCTGTCGCCGAGTTACATTTCATTCCATTTATTCATTTTCTTTGTGGCACTTTAGGCCTCAATTATTTTGAAACACATTTCAAGTGTCAACTTGTTGTTTTTCAAAAATGATGCAAGGTGGCAACACTGTCAGCTACACACACATACACGCATCCTCTGCCCTATCTACATATCTAAATTTGATTTTTTTTCCAATTACTTCCATTGCAGCCAAAGATGCGCTCTTAGCAGGTGCGAGCAGGCGAGCGCTGAACTGTGCGAAAGAGACAGCAAATCGTTCACTGAGCGAACTTTCGTGGAGGACAAAGGGCCGCAAATCAAAAGGCAAACGCAAAGCACAGAGCACAGAGCAGAGAGCAAAGCCAAGCTGAAATCAGGTAAATTCGCAATTGAATAATAAACATGAAGCCTGCCACAATTTGTGGCGCCCACGCCTGCGCTGTGGCGCGCCCAAAAAAAAAAAGAAAAGAACTAAATAAAAGCGCCGCAACAAACAATTGCTGCGTGCTGCCCACGCACGCAGCAGGAGTGGCTGACAGGAGGCGGGTGGCGGTTGGCGGGTGGCAGGGCGGTGGGTCGGGTTCGGGTTCGTTTAGTGGATTGGCTTCGATTCGAGTGCTGCTGCGGCATTCTACAGGTGGGGCGCTCAAATTAGACGGCAGACGCTGTTGCTGCTGTGCTGTGCCCACACTATGTAGGCTGTCACATGCCGCATGCCGCATGCCACATGCCGCAAATCCTGTTGCCTGTCGCCTGTTGCCTGGAATGCAGATTTGCAACTCGTTTACATGCGAGCGGCTGGCGCTACTCGACTCGTTTCTTGCTCTGTTTCTGCTCCGCTTTGGGCCAGCTGCTGCCCGCGCTGCGCCCCTGCCTTTGCCAGATATTGCCTTTGCCTGGTTCCGGTCTTCTTTGGCCTGAGCTTTGTCTTCCAGCTTCCATGTTCCAGCTTCCAGCTGCTCGGCCAAAAAAACCAAACCGGTTTCATTCCACAAGAATTTGTTGTTGTTGTTTTAGTTATTTTTCTGCCATAGCTGTATGTGTGTGTGTGTGTTTGTTGTTGTTGTTGCTTTTTCGCTTTGTGTTTGTTTTTGTTTTAGCTTTGTTTGTATAGGCTTCATCTCTGTGCTCTTATCTCGCTGTGGTTGTTGCTGTTCGATTCGTGATTTTTCTATTGCTCCTTTTGCCGTTGTTGTTGTTGCTGTTGCTGTTCTTTTTCTGCCATAGCCATGGCAATAGTTGTTGCTCTCAGGTTTTATTGAACTTTGTGTAACAAACAGGCAACAGCTTGTAGCAGGTGTTAGTGTTTTACAAGCTGTTAACTGCTGCTGCCGCGACTTAATGGCCAGCCGGCAACAACAACAACAACAACAGCAACAACGGACAACATTTAACTAACTGTTGTTGTTGTTGTGGTCTCTGCTTAACGCCTCGCTTTGAAATGCGCGCTCAACGCGAGTCACAGCCAAGTGCGCGACTAACGCATACCCTGTAGAAAATAAGACTGAAGCGAGTACAACAAAAATTGCAACACAGCTAAAATTATAGAACAAAATATTATTGTAAATATCAATATGATTATGCAAGTAATTTAATCTACAGGGTATCTCATAGTCGGCATATGCATGCAGCTTCTAACTCTGCTCAGCTTCTGTAGTTTTGCTGTTCACTCAACTTGCTCTTCACTTCACGCTGAGTTCCTCCCCTCTCATTGCCCATGCAACATACTTATTCACTTGCCTACCGCCCCAGCCACGCCTCCCACCCCCGCCGCATGGCGGCGTAGCCAGTTGCAGTGTGGCTCTGCGCCTACTTTACTAATTTCTAACAGTTTTATGCTAATTTCTGGACAAGCGCAAACATTTGAAGAAGCCGCAGACAACGTTTGCCATTCACCAAAGTTGTTGTTGTTGTTGCTGCTGGTTGTTGCTGGTTGTTGTTGTTGTTAGTGAACATGTGTATTTGAACTGTTAATTTATGCTATTTAATTTGGCATTTCATTTGATTAATAACTGTTATTGTCTAGCTCGAATGTCTTCTCTCTATTTCAACATGCAACAACAGCAACAACAACAACAACGACAAAACTTGTCCTAAGTTTTCTTATTGTTCTAGTTTGAATTTTGTTGTTTTGTTTTGTTTTTCTATTTTTATGAGGCCTTTTCGAGGTGTGACTAATCGAATTAGCATGCAACAACAACAACAACAACAGCAACAACAACAATCATATCAACTAATTGTGCATTGACAACATACATAAGCGCCAGCAACATGTTGATAACGCTTTGGCAACCACTGTAAACGTGTTCGGCTTTATGGCTGTTTGATTGCTAGATTATTCGATTGATTAGTGAGCCAGAGCCAGAGCCAAAGCCATTTCATGTTTATTCAATAAGCCAGATTGAAGAAGAAGAGCCAGATTGAATAGAATGTCAAATATATTCAAATATATATGTACATACATATGTATAGGAATATGAATTCACATTGATATACCCATTCATTTTGAAGTTTCAATTTCAAGAATATTTTATTCATATTCATATCGAAGTATTATTAATACATTCACATTCATGGGCGAAGGCGTAGTTTGTTCATGCTCTAACCTGAAATCATTTTCAAATTCGTATTTTCAATTAAATTCATATTTCTACCCAAATTCATTTATGTATGTATATATTCAGGTCTATATTCATAATAGTATTTTTATTCATATTCAAATATTTATGATAGCATTCAAATTCATATTTATTTACACACCTACACTAATATTTATTCCAAGTGACTCTCTTTGTCATATTTATATTCTTATTCGCAGCTTATTCACAATCATATTCATATTTTTGTTTAATTTTATACTCTTATTTATAATTAGGTTCATAGCACCATTCATACTAATGATCATATTTGTATTTATATTAATATTTAAATTCATTTTCGTTTTCATTTTCATTTTCATTTTCATTTTCATATTCATATTCATATTCATATTCATATTCATATTCATATTCACATTCATATTCATATTCATATTCATATTCATATTCATATTCATACTCAGATTCATATTCATATTCATATTCATATTCATATTCATATTCATATTCATATTTATATTCATATTCATATTCATATTCATATTCATATTCATATTCATATTCATATTCATATTCATATTCATATTCATATTCATATTCATATTCATATTCATATTCATATTCATATTCATATTCATATTCATATTCATATTCATATTCATATTCATATTCATATTCATACTCAGATTCATACTTATATTCATATTCATTTTCATATTTGTAATAATTTTCGTATCCATATTCGTATGCCATATTCATATGCGTATTCGTCTTCATATTTATTATCATATTCTATACTCATATTCATATTCATATTCATAATCTCATATTCATATTTGCATTAATTTTCGTATACATATTCGTATTTATATTCATATTCATATGGATATTCATAATAGTATTCAAATTCCTTTTCATGTTCATTATTCATATTCCCTTAGACACATGTTGCAGCAACATGTTGCCCAATTAAACGTAGGCCATTTGAACTATTCTGCGTATATTTTTGTAGTCTTTTACAGCTTTCAGCATTTATTTTGATTGCTATTTGGGGCTAGTAGCTGCAGGCACTATTCCCCCTCTATCTCATAAGTGTATGCGTGTGTGTGTGTGTGCAACATTCTTGCGACGCGCCATTCATTTCCTCAGTTCTTGCTCTGGCTTTGACTAGTCGTTGCTGTTGTTGCTTGGAATGCGCATTAATTTTCAACACACGCAACAAGCTGCAAGAAGAAGAAGAAGAAGCAGCCGAGGAGACAGAGCAGACAGAGCTGGCAGCAGGGGCGGCAGAGGCAGCTGAGGCAGCTGAGGCAGCCAGAGCATAAGCTGCGTCAATTTCGCGCTTTACTTTTGTTGTCAGATGGTTTTAAATCAGCGTTCGCGAGGATCGAGCCAGCTCCACCTGGGCTGGGCGCCCGTCCGTGTAGGCAGTCCGGTTTGGGGCCAGCTCCTTGCGCTAACAAGTGGTTGGCAGCGCAGTCGCCGTCGCCGTCGCCGTCGCCGTCGCAGCTGGCAGCGGGCAGCGCTGCCTTGGCTGTGGCAGCTGCACGCGCCTGGCTCGGCCTGGCCAGCCTGCCTGCCCCATAATGACTTTCAAATGGGAGCCGCAGAGCGATTTATGTGCGTCAAACAGACTGCAAGAGAGAGAGAGAGAGAGAGAGAGATAAGGGGCAGCAGGGAGAGTGGCAGGCAGTGACGGGGGCGGGACAGGTGAGGAACTGGGCAGACCGGGCGGCCGTTTTCTTGGAATTCCGCGCGCGCTTTTGTGTAGCATTTTTGTTTTGTTTTTGCCTGTTGCTTTTTGCTTCTTCTTTTTACTTAGTTTTTCGAATCGAGAGGCGCAAACTGTCGCAGAGCAAATGCTGCACGAACCCGTTCCGCAGGCCACTTGCCACAGCCGCAGCACAGCCAGAGCAACAGCAGCAGCAGCAGCAGCAACAACAACAACAACAACAGCCACACAGCACCTGCAGCCTGCTCATAATAATGACACGCCATTAAGAAGCTGATGCCCTGATGCCACAAGGACTGGCCACATGCTGCATGCAACATGCGGCCAGCCAGGCAGCCAGGCAACCGTCTGGCCTCGGCTCCAGTTTAAATGGCATATTGCGAGCGACTGTGCTTCCGTTGTCACGCCCCATTCGCTTACCGCAGGACAGCAATCTCAGTCCCTGCCCCTTGCCCCCCATGTTCCTTGCCACTGCCCCACTGTCACTGTCACTGCCTCGCAGCTCCTTCACTGCTGGTACAGTTGCGTTCAAGACATCTCCACATTCCTCACACAATTTAACGCCTACTTTTGCCTGCACAGCAAAACCAAAAAACCAAAAAAGAAAAAGTGTCCATAATTTCTGTGCTGTTTTTGGTAGCTCAATTAGGGAAGTTTCTAAAAGGATTTCTGCGGGAGAAACTTTCAAAAATATTTTAAATATATATTTGACATAAGTAAATTTTGCGAATACTCGCAATTTCTTAAATTTTATAATACTCGTATATATTAGTATACGAATATAATATTTATAATATCGCAATTAGTATTCTATTTGCTTACTAATGTAATATATTTCCTAAACTCTGAAAATATTGTAAAATACCATTCACAAAATCATGTAGTTATAACAAAGTCTGAAATAAATTGAAATTGAAATTGAAATTGAAATATTTCCATACATATCTCCATATTATAATATATCATATATTATAAAAAATATTTTCATAACAAGAAAATTGTTTTAATATTCTTAGCATTTCATTGATCATATCTTAGAGAAATAGTTTGAGTCAAACTCACAGCATTTCAATGACCCACTCTAATCTAATCTAAGCTCTAGTCTCAATTCTATTGAAGGAATATTGGAAAATATTTTCAATTTGAACAGAAAATTGATGAGAAACTTTCTAGAGAGTTAAACTGAATTAGTATTTAGACTCTTCAGGGAGACAGACTTAGCTTGCTTAATGAGTGATTCTTGAAAATATTTCATGTAATTTCCTGTGCTTCTATTTGAGTCTACACTTGTACAATATACTAATTTAAGACCAAAGACACAAACAATAACTTTAAATATAGTTCTATATAGATGCTATTCATGCTTTCTATCGACAATAGACAGAAATATTACTAACTCTTCCATCTACCAACCAAATACCATTAGTATTCTGTAAAAACCTGGTTTCTGATCCAATATACATATAATTTGTGGGCCACACAGAGCCGGGTAATAAATCACAAAATTGGCCATCTCTATAAATTAAACTACAAGAAAACACGGATAATCTTTCTACATATATGTATCTGTATGGAGTTATGTATGTATGTATGGCGTTTTTACACTGGCTTTGGCTTTGTCAGCACTGTCCATAGTATCTGTATATTTAGGATACAAGTGTATAGGTATGTATACATATACTATGTAATACAGTAGAGTCCGACTATAACGTCTCCTCTTATAGCGTCCTCATATGAACAAACATATACAGTTATAGCGTCTTCCGGGTATGACGACGGTCCTTTGAGGCGTCGTTATAACCGGATACTGCTGTAGTTCTAGTCTAACAAGTTATTTTAAAGGTATTCAGACAAATCATATTAATGGATATGTAATCCTATAGATACCTCAAATATAGGTATGTATATATTACTCTTCGCTATAGAACTTGCCACTTGGCAAGATAGTACTCTGTATATTGATAGATAGCAAATTTATTATAATATTATATTGTATATAATATCAGAGTAGAGCCCATCTGTCACAGTTTGGATGACCAAGCTATATGCTGCTCCACTGGGGCGTGGCCAGTGTCAACAAATATTGATTCTTGCATATATCCCATTAATTTTGAACTTTCAGCTTGATTATCTTGATATATAATCTTCCATATATACATATGTATATCTATATCTATATATATTTATATGTAATTGTAGTAAATCAACTCTCATTTCTTTCAGATTCTCCCAATCTCTCCCTTTCACCCACCCTCCCTTCCTCTCTCTCTCTCCTTGTGGAGCAGAGATGTGTCGACGGATCACCTCTGTGCCGCGGCTGCTGGCGGTGCTCAGCTACCTCATAGCCAGTTGTAGCTGCAGCAACAGCAACAGCAACTCGAGCAACATGCTCGGCGTCTACATCGAACGGGCACCCGAGTCGGCGATCGCGCCCAAGGGGGACGAGGTGGTGTTTGAGTGTGAGCTGAACCTGCAGCCGGATCGCTTGGAGTGGCGCTTCCGGCCGAGCAGCAGCGAGCCGTACCGCTACCTGCGACCGGCTGCCGGCTACAATGTGACCAGCAGCAACGAGGAGCGCACCTGGAAGCTGCGCATCTATGTGAACGCCCAGACGCTGGGCGACTACCAGTGCGTCGCCTGGTATGGGCCCGGTGCGATCGCCTCGACGCCCGCCCGCCTCACGCTCGTCTCCATCTCCATCGACAATCCGAGCGTGGGCCGGCATGCGGTGCGCTGGAGCGTGGCGCCCAAGAACTGTGTGCTGCTGCGCTGCGGCTCGGTCAGCTCCAGTCCGCCGGCCATTTGGAGCTTCTACCGGAACGGCGAGAAGCTGCCGCAGACGGAGCTGCTGCCAGGCGCCGCCGGCGCGCTGGTCCTCAACTCGGTCAGTGCCAAGGATGCGGGCAACTACACCTGCGCGGCGACGAATGCCATCACCGGCGTGGAGCTGCGGCTGCCGCAGGTGATCGACTTGCGCGTCGACTATACGGATCGCACTCCGCCGTACTTCCTGCTCCAGCAGCCGGCCACGCAGGTGGCCGCTCGGCCCGGCGAAACAGTTGTCCTGGAATGCCCGGGTGTCGGATCGCCGCGGCCCGGCGCCGTCTGGAGCAGTCCGAATGTGCCCAACATCTACCACAACCGGAGTCGTGTGCTCGCCTACGGACTGCAGATCACGGACATCCGGCCTGAGGACCAGGGCTCCTATGTCTGTCGCCTGGACAACGGCATTGCGCCCGTGCTCGTGCACATGATCAAGCTCAGCGTGCTCGAGCGACCGCGCATCCTGCGCGGCCCCGATCCGACTCTGACCAATGAGGGCGATTCCCTGGCGCTCGAGTGCGCGGCCACCGGGCATCCCGAGCCGGACATCTATTGGCTGATCAACGGCGAGGATGCCAGCAACGACAACGAAACCCTCATCGAGCACGGACGCCTGCTCATCCATCATGTCCAGAAGCGCCATGCCGGCGTCGTCCAGTGCTTTGCACGCAATCAACTAGGCGAGGTAAGTCGACCAAGATAATACAAACTGATATGGATATGGGACATCTCCCGATGCCTATCTAATGTACCTATAATATTGGATATACGATATTTCGTGATAGCAATCCAATTGATAGTAAAATATTCGTTATAAATGAAAGTAGAATCTTCATACCAAAATCGAATATTTTCACTGTCACATATAGAAATCGATTTTTATCGATGCCATAAATACTATGGGAGGAACATAACTCTTTACTTTGGATATCAGTTAATATAAATTGCTCATTCTCAGCAAAACATCTGGGTATATCAAATAGACCTTTCGATTGGAATCTATACAAAAGAGGGAAATTACACAATACATATATTACAAATTATATGTAGCTCTTCTAGCACTCGAATACCCAATCGTGAATAAATAGACAGAGATTATAGAATATACTGTTAAGACCAAATTGTCCAAAGTGATATATGAAATATTCTACACAACAAAAGTCCCAACACCGAACATAACGTGAGATATCGATGATTGAAACTTGGGCTAGAGAGGTCAAATGTAACTGGCATAGACAGACTAGTAATAATCAGGAATACAAAAATAGTTGGATACATATGTATATGAGCTAGACGCTGCCGATTGGATGATGGATACAGGGTATATAGCATATAATATGAGTGAGCATTAAAAGTACCATATAATCTATATATAACAGACAGAGATAGACTGCTAATAAGCAGGAGTACAAAAATAGGTGAGCAAATATCAGCGTTAGACGTTGTTTTCTGTAACAATCTAATGGATACAGGGTATATAGCATAAAATATTGATGAACATCAAAAGTTCCATCACAAATTTAATATATTGTTTTCCAGAAGATGCTCCGATTCCCTGATATATATAAATAATATATACCATACCTAGATAAATATACATCTACTTAGACACATTAGCATATATACATATACATACATATGTAAATACCGTTTCCCTTGGCTCAAGATTACATATACATATATAATGTACGCATCTCAACTATATACATATATGTACATATATCTCTACAAATTAACCCAATCCCTTCGCGTTCCCCCCACTCCACTTGCAGACGAGCGAGGCCAACATATTGCGTGTGAACCCGATGCAGATCAGCGGCGATGACTATCAGCCTCTGGGCGAGGTGCCCATGCGATCGGCCCACGATCTGGTTAACGGTGGCTACTCATCCGGCTCCTCGGCCTCGTCGTCGTCCTCGGGCGGCGGTGGCTCACGCAACAAGAAGCGCAAATACATGAGAGTTGGTAAGTTCTATAAACGATTTGGTACGTTTTAGGCTTGTTTCACTGTATTTCACATGCGAGATACAATTACAATTTGAGACTTGTCTTAGGTCTAAGGGCGATTGATCAATCAAAAATTGAACGCTTAACATTAATCGACAATCGCTTTAAGTGTTAATCGGTAATCGGTAATATGTAATCGCTAATCGCTAATCGCTAATCGTAAAATACGGCCAGCCGAATACAGCACGCCGTCCCGCCCACCCATTGAACAATAATTCTTTTCATATAAAAAAAAATTTAAGTTAATTGAGGAAAACGGGCAATAAAATAGCTATCGATAAAATTATAGACTATATGTATGTATGTATGTATGTATATATATATATATATATATATATATATATATATATATATATATATATATATATATAATTCTGGCTGCTGTTTGCTTCCGTCTACAGCAGCAATTGCATATCCAATTCCATGTATTGCTGTTGTTGTTGCTGTTGCTGTTGCTGCTGCTGCGGCGACTCATCGAATTCGACTTCTGGCTCTGCATCGCTAATGTCCTCCAGATCTCATGTGGTGCTGTTTTTGCGCAGCTGCTCCTCCTCCTTCTCCAGTATGCGTATCTTCATCTTGAGCTCCTCGACGCGCAGGCGGTGCACCTCGCGCATGTACTTGAGCTCGTCCTGCGCCTTGTTCACCTCGATCTTCTTCGCCTCGGTGGCCAGCTGCTGCTCCTTGCAGCGCAGCTCTGCCTCCTTCACTTTGAAGTAATTGATGCGCTCCTCGTAGCTGTCGCCTGGCTGTTGCTGCTGCTGTGTGACTGCTGCCGCGGTTGCCACGTTGCTGGCGCTGACGTTTGCCACGGATGCTGCAGTCGCCGACACCGGCACTGGGACCGGCACCGGCACCGAGGTGGCCGCCGTCACGTTGGGCAGAGCGCTGAATGTGAAGGTGGGCGTGCCGCCGGCTAGCTGCATCTTAACAGCAGCTGCTGCTGCGGCCACCTGCTGCTGCTGCTGCTGTTGTTGCTGTTGCTGCTGTTGTTGCTGCTGTTGCTGCTGCTGCTGCTGATGGTGTGCCGCTGCCGCCGCCACCGCTAACTGTTGCTGCTGCGCCGCCAGCTGCTGCTGTGCCAGTTGCTGGGCCTGCGCCTGGGCCTGTGCCTGGGCCTGAGCCTGGGCCTGGGCTTGCGCTTGGGCTTGAGCTTGTGCGTGCGCCTGCTGCTGCTGCTGCGCCTGGTACTGGGCGAGCGTTATCTGCTGCGGCTTTATCTCGCTGATGATCTGCTGATTGTAGCCGCCGGCCGTGATGGTGGCCATCGTGTGCTGCTGCGGCTGCGTGGGTATCGTGTGGATTTGCGTGGCTATCAAGGGAGAGCGAAAGCGAGAGCGAGAGACGAGGAGAGTTAAATATAAAGAGTGGCCATTGCCATTGCACCCAGCTCAACTCACCTGTCGCATCGGTGGGATGCTTGATCTGCAATATGATCTCTTCGCGGGGCCGCGCCGGCTTGAAGTGCAGCAGATCGGTCAGCGTTAGCTTCTCGGCACTTATGGAGTCGACGTTGATGCGATGCGTGTTCAACATGCTCGCATTTGCAGCGGCAACTGCAGCGCTCACCTGCAGCTTCTGCATCTCGGCGACAGCCGATTGCTGCTGCTCCACCTGGGCCTGCGCCGCCTGTTGTTGCTGTTGTTGTTGCTGTTGCTGCTGCTGCTGCTGCTGCTGTGCCTCGAGCGGATCGTCCTCCATTTCGCTAACGTCGTTGCCATCCATTTCGATCTCGTCGAAGGTGTCACCCTGCGGATTGTGCTCAGAGGCGTCCGGGCTAATCTGATATTCAGGCTCCACCTTGACGTTGTCGTGATGCTGCTGCTGCTGCTGTTGCTGCTGCTGTTGTTGTTGCTGCTGCTGTTGCTGTTGTGCGTTGGTCGAGATGGCGTTCACTTTGCCCATGCCCGAGCTGCCGCCGGACCCGCTGCCGTCCCTGTACGGATACTGTTTGCGCAGGCTGCAAGGGAATCCCAAAGATTAGACTTAGATCAATTGGAGTCGCGCTGCACTTACCGCGAGTTCAGCCAGAACTTCTGAATCTGCTTGATGTTGCGCATGGCGCTCACGTGGGGATGCGAGTTGAAGTCGCGCACGATCTTGTCCCAGGTTTCGCGCACGGAGTACTTGTTGCGCTGCTTCTTCCTGTGCTTGATGTCGATCACCTCCTCGTGCAGGTGGAACAGCGTGTACAGCACCTCCTTCTCCTCGGCAGTGAAGCGGGGCGTGAGCGGCAGCTGGCCTTTCGAGCTGCCGGCTGTTGAGCCATTGTTGTTCGAGTTGCTGTTGTTGGCATTTGAGTTGTTGTTGCTGTTGTTGGTGGGGCTGCCGTCGCCGCTGACGTTGACTGTCGCCTGGACGACGGTCACATTGTTGCTGGCATTGGCGGCACCGGCGCCAGCATCTCCGGTTGCCGACATCCTAGCTCAATCGCAGATATCTTCTTTTTTATGGTTTGTTTATGCGATTTTTTATTTTTCCTCCACTTGTTTTTCTCCTTTTGTTTTGAGTTTTTCAGAATTGAGTTTGTTTATGAACCGCACGAACCACTTGAGTGACAGTTCGCGAGCGAGTTCCGAATTGGTCAACAAGCCATGAAGCGAGTGAGCGAGCAAATGAACAAACAAGAACAAAAACGAGTCCGAGACCGAGTCCGAGTCGGAGTCAGAGTCCGATACCGAGTACAAGTTCGAGTGCGAGTGCTAAATAGTGATGCCGAGTAGCGAGTAAAATACGAAAATCAATTGCACTCGTTTTGCTATTACACACACATAGCCACACTCATACACGCACAGAAACACACATGTACAGTGAGAGCGAGAGCGAGAGCTAGCTATCGAGTGAGCGGGTGAGCGAGCGAGCGAGCGCGCGCGCGCCTGTGTGAGCGTCAGTGTGAGTCGTTTTTGTCTGTTGTCGTTGTCCGATGTCCGCGGTCCGCGGGCCGTCTAGCTTGCCACTAAGGAAGAGAATTGCCACTTTATATTGCACCACAAATGTCTATGGAAATATTGCTATGCTTAGCAGCTGCACACGTTTGCCGCACAAAATTGCTTCTGATTTAATTAAGTTTGGCATTTAATGTAAATGCGCGGGCTTGTTGGCTGGCTGAGGTTCATTTTATGTATATGTATATATATATGTGTGGCAGGCAGAGCCACCAGCAACCAAAAAAAAAAATTCCGCTCAAAACGCGTACGCAGCTATGACAATACTACTCAACGCAGTACAGCGATACTACTCAATACAACAGCGCAATACTACTCATGCTGTTAACAGTGCCATTAACAGTGGTTGGGTGCTCCGCTCTGCGCGGCGGTGACTCGTTTCTGCGCTAACATTGGGCGCACTGTTTGCGTCAACGCCATTAACCAACACTTGAACGACAAAGAATTTAGCGAAAAATTGAGTTAAATTGAATTTTAAAATGAGAAAATTATTTTTGCAGCGAATATGGTGCCGCCATCGCGACCCAATGTCACCCGACTGGCCGACGATGCCGTCATGCTGCGCTGGAACGTGCCCAAGAACGATGGTCTGCCCATACAGTTTTTCAAAGTCCAATATCGAATGCTCGGCGACAACGCCCGCAAGATTCCTCGCGAAAATTGGCACACAACCAACGAGAACATACCCTATGGCAGGCAGCAGCAGCGTGAGCGGGAGAGGGATCGAGATCGGGATCGGGATCATCAGCGGGACCATCATGAGCCGGCCCTTAAGAACTTCACATCGTCAGTGACGGGCCTGCGTCCGGATCGGAATTATCGCTTCCGCATCATCGCCGTCTACTCAAACAACGACAACAAGGAGGGCAACACCTCAGCCAAGTTCTTCCTGCGGCGCGGCGCGGCCAAGTCGAATCTACCCGTGCCCGAGCTGCGCGAGATTGAATCCTACTCGGAATCGGCTGTCGTGCTCCACTGGACGCTCGCATCGACATCAGCTGCCCAGCTGCACAATATCGATGGCTACTACGCCTACTACCGTCCGGCATCCTCTGCCTCCGACTACCTAAAGGCGACTGTCGACGGCGGCCATGCGAGGCGCTTCAAGATCGACCAACTGGAGCCGGGCACCGCCTATGAGTTCAAACTGCAGTCGTTCAATGCACACGCCGCCTCCGAGTTCAGCGAGATCAAGCAAGGCCGCACGACAAGTGAGTGGAGTGCAGCAGCACCCTGGCTATCTGTGTACCTAATGCATCTATTCCATTCTATTCCTCTGCAGAGTCTGCGAGCCAAGCGCCGCCCGCTGTTGCGCCTGCTCCGAATGGCAAGTCGTCGGAGCAGCATGAGAACTCCATCTACCCGGTAATAGCTGGCGCCGCTGGTGGCGGCCTTCTCCTGCTCATAGCCATTGCCGTGGCCTGTCTCTGCCTGCGTCGTCGCAACAATCCTCAGCCCGAGGGTAAGTCCTGTTCGCCTCGCTGTCATCTAAGAGCGCTCCTAATTCTCATCTCTTCCTTTCTCTCTCTGTTCTTAGATGAGAACAAGCCGCAATTGGATCACATTCAGGCGGACTTTGTTACATCTGCCGTACTGGGCGTGGCACCGCATCACAATCACAATCATGGCCATGGCCACAAGCCGGGCGACCTGCGGCGCCTGAATGGCGTCATTCCGCGCATGAACATCACGCCGAATCCCCTCGCCCAGGATCCCACGGCCGACAAGGTAAGCACTCGTATCTGCTCCCCTTTTCCACTCACTCTCGCTCTCACAGTATCCGGACAACTGATCCGCTTTCCAATTATGGCTTTAAATCAAAAATGTTTAGAGATATACAAAAAAAAAAACCTTTTCGCTGGTTGCTTGGTCAAAATTTCAAAACGTTTCTCGCCTCAAATTCGCTTTTGCCTTTGCCTCTGCCTTTGCCTTGCCTCAAAATCTTTTTCTCTCTACTCCCTGTCTGTCTCTCTCTCCCTCTGAGTTATTCTTTTGCTTGTAATCGTTTCTGTTGTAGTTGGCTAAGTCTATAATCCTGCTGCAAAGCTCTTCAATTCCCATTTCCTCATGTTGCCTTGCAGTAAACTAGAAAGATTATATCAGATTCCTGCGAAATTTGATAGGTCTAGAAATTAGAAATTAGATTAGAGCAAAACAACTTCACTTTGCAAGCTGAGCATTTTCGATTTCCGCCCGGAAGGAAATATATAGTCATATCTCATATTTGTTATCTATATCTTTATTAGCAACAAATTCAATTGAAAATTCGATTTAAATGTGATCATCTTTAAGCCGCTCAGCTCTTCTATAGACTGGTCATTTCGGATACTCCAAGCGGGTATTATTTATCATAATATCGTTTTAAGCGGATCGCAACACGATTATTGCCAATAGCTGAGAGCTTAACATTAAGACGACATTTACATGGCATTAACATAGCATTAGCATGGCATAACTGAGTCATTATTAACATGCCTGGCATTTATCTGAAGCGAAGCTTAGCTCAATCACAAAATCAATTATCATTGGCAACATTGAATATCATTAGGGGTATTCTCAGTGAAAAAGACATCGATATTCTTAGTGAACATAGACAAATCTTTCTCTATTGATCAGTCACTTCCTCAGCAATCTTTATATATTTTTTGTTGACAATTTCTTTCTATTATTATTCTTCGCATTCTACATTGTCTTTCTTGACTACGTTGGTGTTTTCTATTTCCTTCTTCAGTTCCATTTTCATGTATATGCCTCTCTGTCTCTCTCTTTCTCTCTTGCTCTTTCTTATGGCTCTTTACCATCTTATTCTATAGGTTATCTCCTGTACTTCTGTCATTCTCTCTTCTTTCTATATCTATCAAATTCTTTCTGTTCTCTTCTGTTTCTAATCGATTTCTAGAGATTCTTTCTCTATTATCTAAGTTTTTGCTGCCTTATCTCGACGTGTTCCAGTGGTTATTTGTTTAAATTGTTCCTATCTCTCTCTCTCTCTCTCTCTGTCTCTATTTCTTTCATTCTATGTTCACTTTGCTTTTTCTTATTCACTCTACGAACTTCTTCCATCGTTTACCATTCGTTTGCATACGATTCCAACACTTTTTTCTGTGGATTTTTCTTTTTCTATCTCTTTCTCACTCTGTCTTATCTCTTCGCCTCTATTGCTTCTGTCGTATCTTTTGCTAGTTTATAGCTTATTCTTCTTCTCTCTCGCTGCCCACCTTTACTTTCGTCTCGTTTCAATCTTCTCGGATTGCTTGGTCTCCCCTCGCGCTGCCTCTGTATTTCTCTTGCTTGTCGCTCTCCCCTCGACTCGTTCGCCATTTTTCCAAACTGAGCGTCCCCTGTTCCAGAATCGCAATGTTATGGAGTTACGCTTCCTGCCGCCCGCCAATGGCATCCCCGCCGGCGCTGCACCGGAGCAGCCAGCGCGGCACGTCGAGCCGGTTGCTGGCGCGGATACATATGCGGATGCGGATGCGGATGTTGATGCCGAAACGGAAGCAAATGCGGACGCCGATGCGGATGCAGATGCAGATGCGGATAATGCAGTCAGTGACAAGGCTCAAACGTGCGCCTCATCCTCCTGCGAGACTCTGGAGGCATGTGACGGTCTCAGCCAGTCCCAATCCCAATCCCAGTCGCAGTCGCAGTCGCAATCGACGCCAGTGGCCACGGAGGCGCCCAGCAAGCCGCTGCCGCCGCTGCCCAAAAAATCAGTCGCCGCCAAAGCGCAACAACAACAACAACAACAACAAAACGTAAATACAATTCAGAGAAAGAAAGAAAAGCGAACAAATTTGAGAGTTGAGAAACGTTTTTGAAATCTTGTTGCCAAGCCACCAGCTACCATTTGTTGCATGCCACACATGCCACAGCAGCCCTATCTAGCCTATTCAGTCGCACTAATTTATCTCTCTCTCTCCCTCTTTCTCATTCAGGGCAATGCAATGGTTGTGGCTGCCGCCGCCGCTCTGCACCAGCCTGGCCTGCATCATGCGCAGCCCTATCATGCGCCCGGCACGCCCACCTTCGCACACAAGCGCCACGACTTTCAGCAGCTGCAGGCGCCGCCGCCTGTGCCACCGCATGCCACCTACTACCAACAGCAGCAGCAGCACCAGCAGCAGCAGCAGCAGCTGGTGGCAGGCGGCGCCTCGCCCATGTTGGATCAGCAGCGACGCACGCTGGAGCGCAGCGTACGGAGCCTGCAGCAGCAACAACAGCAGCAGCAGCAGCAGCAGCAACATCCGAGCTATGGCCTGGATGATGGACAAGCCACGCCCACGCGCATACCCTCGCTGCGTCGGCAGCGACGCGCCTCTGGCAGCCAGCCCCACAGCAGCCACACAAATCTCAATAATCATCACAGCAGCAGCAACAACAACAACAACAATAACAATAACATCAGCAGCCACAACAACAACAACAACAATAGTAACAACAACAACAACAACAACAATGTGCCGCACCACCTGCTGCACCACCACGCCACGCACCACCATCCCCACAATGTTGGCATACCCCACGTGCCGGGCAGTCCGCGCGTCCAGCGTTCGCCGATGCCGGCGCGGGCTTTGATCAAGCGAACGCGCCTGGGCAGCCACACGGACAACATCTCGTCGGGCAGTCTCAACAGTATTGAGGTCTAGACCTAAGCCACGCCTCACGCCCCACGGCCCCACACCAAACACCCAATCAGCCCTCGCTCTAAGTACATCTATCGTAATTCGAATAAAATACTTCCTTTATTATTATTATTATTATTTTTTTTTTACTTATTTATTTAGAGTTTAGTCTTAAGACCTTAGTTGTATTTAGTTCTTCGTTCATACAGATATATGTATGTATATCTAGATTTCTGTATATCTGGTGTTATTTATTTATTTAGTTGATTAACGCAACGACAATTCGCACACATTTATGCCTAACTATATTAGTGAGTAGTGCCCTAAGACCACGCCCCCATTCGACTAGCGGAAGTCATAGAACCTAGTTAAGATCTTAGATATATAAGTCGTTCAACTATTAACTTTAGCTCGCTGCTTAATTTTAAATCATTACATTTACTTCATCTACAAGAATTTGACTTTTTTCATCGATATCCATATACATATTGATATATCCTTACAAGTATACAGTTAGTTTAAGTGCTACCAATTTCCGCACACACAAAAATCTCCTAAGCTATTCGATAAACACAATAAAAACAAAATATAAAAAGTAAACTGAATTTATATAGACTGTTTTATTTCATAATCTACATCCAGAAAGGTTGGAGTCGTTCCACGTATAATAAACTTTCTATTTTGCATTTCTCGGCTTGTTTACAAGATTTCGAAAATTGAACCAAACAAATAATTTATTATTATTAACAAAGAAAATTAATAATTTTTTGTGAGTTTAAGTCCGAGTTTTAAAAACTATTATTTTCTATAATATCAATAAATACTTTCTAATCAGTTCAGATGACGTGATAATCTATTATTTAACCTAATTTCGGAGTCTTGCTAATTCGAGGTCCCCAAAATCTCTTTTTCCTTGGAACAATCGTAGCATGAGTTAAAAAATATTCGAAATTATATGTATTCAGGTATTCTGAAGACATATGCATTTTGAATACAAAAAGAAAGTACACTCGACTTTCGTTATTTCGAGACTCGAGGAACTCTTAAAACATTACGAATTATCGATTGTTTGAAATATTAAATGGTTCGAAATACCGTGAGTCGATTGTATTATAGTCTTATAGATGACATTCCTTGCAAAGTTTAGCTCAATTCGAAATTCCAATCTTAACCTATTACCTATTTATTTAGTCAGTCCAAAAGTGAATATAGTTGAATTTTAGCATCTTTCGAAATTCGGATCTTTCGGAGTGCATCTATTTGTTAGCTTACCTTTTTGAATCAATATTCAGCTTGTTTCGATGCGAATTTCTTTCAATAACAAAGACCCGAATAAAATGGAACATTTATTTAATTTTCATATCAAATAACATGTAAGCTAAGATTTGAAGATCAAATGGGCATAAGGCGGAGTCGATCGAAATAAATTGTTCCCTTTAAATGTGCTTCGATCATTGAGTACTAGACTTCATCTATCCAAAGCTCAGCCAGGGTTTCGTAGTCGTCTCCGAAGGATGGATATATTACTCGATATATTCAATATTATATAGTGTTTTATTAGTCGAAAATAAAAGTACAAATTGTAAGTTTGGATCGATTTGCAGTCCAGCGGGATGGGGAGAGTAGAGTAGAGTAGAGTAGAGTAGAGTAGAGACTTTAAGCGAGGGCTGCTCGATGCGTGGCTCACTATGCTGGCGCTGGTGTCTCGGGCGCCTGTTCCTGCAAGCAGAGAACCAGAACCAGAACCAATTCAAGCAACAGTTCAAATGAGTCAATCGGCCAGGCAAACCAAACTGCAGACGAGGTAGCTAAAGGACACACGGGGAACTCAAGTGCATGGCATGTGCAGAGAGAGATAGAGAGAGAGCGAGAGGAAAGTGAGCCCAACAAAAAATAAAAATAAATAATAATAATAATAGTAAGAGGTATGCATGTTTTTCTTTTTTTGTAATTTAGTTTAATTTACATTAAAAAATAGAATTTGTAATTAATGAAATATAATAAAAAAAATAATTCATCAGAGCGTTCAGATGTTGGGCTGTTGTTTCGAATCCTTCATGATGTGAATTATTTTCGATAGCTGGTGTTTTCTTGAAATGTTTGTCGCATTCACTGATCCTGACTTCATATATATAGCATATATGCACAGATATACTATATACTGTCATATACACACACAGACACGCACATATATCTAGATATATATGTGTGCTTGTGCGTGTATACTGTGATATATATACAGGTCGATTTTGCTTGATATCAGATAAATGTTGATTTGCTGTTCTCTTTTTCTTTTTGCTTTTTTTTCTTGTATTCTGTTTGTTTTGTTTGTGGTGAAATAATTGTATTGTATTGAATTATTATTGTTTAGGGCGGGAGTCACGGGTGGTACAGTGGACACTACGTGGACGTGGACACTTAAGCTTCGGCCTCAACCTCCTCCTTTACCTTGGCATCGCCGGGCTTGCCCTTGGACCAGTCGGGTTTCTTCTGCGCATATCCAAGCAAAACAGAGAATATAGATTTGTAGAGAAGAAATATATTAGTGTTGTCAGGTATATGTGAATATATATATACGTAGAATATAATACATTCCGGAACAGTTCACTACGAGCTGTGCTGTGGGCACTACGAGACTACAAACTACAGAGACATACATACATACATACAGAGAGAAAGAGAGAAAGAGAGAGAGAGAGAGACTAGACTATATAGAGGTTCTTGTGTTGTGTGTACCATATAAATAGACAAACAGTTGCACAGAGATAAAGATAGAGACAGCGATAGAGATAGATAGAGAGTGAGAGAGATAGAGATAGATAGAGCGTGTGTAATACATAAAGTGATATTTGGAGGACACTTGGTGCTCGAACATTAAACACACATCATTTCATCATTTCACACATTTCTTACACTTTTTGGCTTGCTTTAGAGAAGAGGCATCTTTTATCTTTTTCTATTGGAGCGTTCACAGCAATTTTGTTGATCGTAGCGAATATAGTATAGCATAGTATAGTATAGTATAGTATAGTATAGTATAGTATAGTATATTGTATATCGTTTATATCAAGTTGTAATGCTTAGCCTAGGTCTGTTTAGTAATCTCGTCGAACTTACCTCCTTCTCTTCCTCCTCCAATGTGAACTCCTTCTTCTTGACCACCTTCAATTGGTTGCGGAAGTTGAACTCAGCGGCCTTCTTCTGCAGCTTGGCAAATTTGTTTTCGTATTTGGACACCTTCTTCAAGGCTGGCTTAACGCTATATATGGAATCGATATAGGTTAGATGGAATTAGCACAGTTCAGAACAAATTTAATTTAGTCTTTAGACGCTTGCAGCTGATATATTATACTTTTCCGGTAGATCTTGAAAGATTCTCGTCAACTATCTATACGAACTCGGCTTTTACTAAAGCTTTCTTAATGAAGTTTGATGAAGAGATTGTTTTTAGCTTTAGAAAGTTAATTTTGCACAAATCAGTTTTATAAATACAATAAATCTCGAGATTTAAATGTTGATAAAAAGTATAGCAGAACATATTTAAGTCTAACTGTATCACTATTATGAACGCAGAGATCAGTTGACTATATATCCTGTATATACATATATCTAGAGCTGCAAGCGTATCTTAAGTCTAACGCCAACTACTTACAATTTGCCGCGAAGATCGTTAACTTGAGCATTGAGATCGTTGATCTGCAGTTAGCGAATGAGATAGATCAAAGAGAAACAAAGAGAGAGGTACAGTTAGTATACGGATATGAGATATATATGCGAGACAGATTTGACAATAGACTCTAGATGTACTATAGAAAAAATAAACTACTTCAAGTCTCAAATATCAAAATCAAAATGCGGGCTAATCGGTGGAAGAAGACGTGCACACGAGGCGTAGGGCATGCAGCGAACACTGCTACAGTTACGGTTAGAGTTGGAGTTACAAGTTACAGTTACACTTACAGGCTACAGTTACACTTAGAGCTAAAAGTCTACGCATATCATTAGCATTAGCATTATCATTAGCATTGTCATCACTTATCTCTATGTTAGCATAGTGCAGCCGATGCATGCGTGCGTGCGAGCGAGCTAGCAAGACAAGCCGAATGTGCTGTTAGGTTATTTGGTCTAACGGTTGCGTTTGTTTATAATATTTGTTGTTTTTTTTCTTTGGTTTCTTAGAGGGCAACTAAGGTCGGTTTTCATTTGATAATTTGATTTCTTTTGTTTCGTAGTCGATTGAAGAACAGCATAACATCCAAATGTCGATTTTCTCTATATTTTTTATGATATTTTTTTTTTTTTTGTATATTTTTTTTTTAGTTTTTTATTATATATATTTTTGTGGTTGTTTTTGATTTAGTTCTGTCCTACATAAAGACTTGAGCGTACTGGAACTGGGGCCTGAGGTACTGCACAGCAAGGCACATACATACATAACATACGATACATTGATTGATTGATTGATTGATTGTACGTCTCTACAACTACATAGGGTTCACACAGAGCGAGAGAGTGAGAAAGATATACATATATGCATATGTATATATATATATATATATATATATATATTTAGAGAGGGAGCGAGTATAATTATCTGATTTGTTTTGTGTTTTCCTTTTCGTTTTCATTTTCATTTTTCTTTTCTCTATTTTGTTTGTTCGGCTTCGTGTTGTTGTTGCTTGTGATAACGGTAATAAATCATAAATAGTAACGGTAATTAAGTAACGGTAACATTTAGTGGGCAGCGGTAACTAGCATTAGCTATTAAAAAGAAGGTAAAAGCGAACCGACTTCGAAATCGAATTCGAATTCAAATTCGAGCTCCAATTTGGCCTGCCTCAACTAATTAATAATTATTTCAAATTTTTCTTCTTTTTTTTTTTTTTGGTTTTCTTTTTTTTTTTTTTTTTTTAAATTCCAGGAAATCGACGCTTGGCTTTGATGCTCTTCAATTGCTTGGATTTTATGCATTTTGCTTTTCTTCTTAAAAATCATTGAGGTTAGGGCGCGCGTCAGGTGGATAGAGTGAAACAGTGAGTGAGTGTGTGAGAGAGAGAGAGAGACAAATAGAGAGCAATACGGTTACAATGAAGTCAGTTGTTTACAGCCCGCTTTCGAACAGTATTTACAATGAAGTGCGAGCGCATTGCGGGATTTGCAGGTATTTCTATATATGTATGTATATGTGAATGCATATATTCTCTAGAAAGGGAAGGTGAGCAGAGCGGATAACTTGTGGTACGTGTGTGAGTGTGTGTGTGTGTGCTGTTCTTGTTACTTGTTTGTGTGCGTGTGTGTGTGTATGCGAGTGTCTTTGGCTGCACATGCAGAATTTTCGTATGGTTACAAAAAACTATTGCCTACATTTGTGCGCGTGCTAACGTGCTTTGTGCTAAGTGTGCGTTGTCGTATACGTGTGTGTGTGTGTGTGGGCGTATGTGTGTGTAACAGATTAACGGACACAACGGACAGTGGTAAAAGAAAGTAAAAAAAACACGCGAAACAACGAAACAAACAAATTATCACAGAATAACATTAAGAAAGAATGAAAAGATTTTTGTATTTTTTTTTTTTTTTTAGAAAACACAAAACAATGTCACAGAAATTGTTCGAAAAGTGTTTGTGGTTGTGTGTGCGTGTGTCAGTTGCGGTGCTAAACAACGACAAGAAAAACAGTGTTGTGTAGTGCAATGTGAGTGCTGCGTTTGCCAAATGAAAGGAACTGGTGCATTGAATAGCAGTAACTGCAGTAACTGACAGAAACAGCCGCAAAACGAGTTCCTACAAAATAAGTCTAGACTCAATTTTATCCATAAACTCTCAGCATGGATCATTAGCCAACACTAGAATTCAGAGAACATCAGTTTTAAATGTTTGATTGTGAAAAAAAAAACAATTTAACGAAACACAAGAATCAGAATCAAGTCAAATGAAACCTTGAATCTGCAATCTATATAGTAAACTAGACCAGACTAGGGATAAGAAGTGGTCTGATACTGATACTCGTAGTCTAGCAGATTCCAGTCTGGAGATTCTTGATACTTCACTCAATGTTTCGAGTGTTTGATTTCAATTGAAGTTGGCGGCTGTGAAATTGTATAATTCATATTATATATGTACTATATAGACTCATATATATGTATATATACTATATGGATATACATTATACTTTATAGAGCTTCTATTCTCGATTGATTTGTTGCACTTCTGTTGTTGTTGTTGTTGTTGTTTGACTGCTTACATTGGATTGAATTGTGTTTCCGTTTGTTTCTTATTTGCTTTTTGAAAATGAGATTAACAACGGAATTTGAAGAGCTGGATGAAAACTTTGTCGAATCATTTAGAAAATCATGTTTGTATATATGTATGCTATATATTATATGTATGGGAGTATGTAATTTGATTGTTCTTGTTGTTGTGGTTTTTATTGTTGTTGTTGTTGTTGTATGTGAGCAAGTCAGAGAGAGAAAGAAACACAGTTACAAATAGAGTCAAATACTTTGGTTTGTTTTCCCAAAGAACACACACTAGTATCAAAAAGTTTTCATAGTTGATGCAGAAAAAAAATACAGAAAAAAAACGGAAACGTAAAAAACATATGATACTAAACAAATTGTATGTCTGGTATTTTTTTGGTATTTTGTATTTTTGAAATTTTGATTTGTTTTGTATTTGTATTTTTTTTTTTTTTATTGAATTGAATATTTGTTGCAGTACCTCCCAGTCTTTTTTCCTGACTTCGTATTCCAGATCCCATTTCTGGCCTTCACAAATATACATACGCTCGTAATACTCTTCGCAAATCTCTTGCAATTCGCCTGTAAAAACATATTTTTGTTGTGGTTTTTCGTTTTTTGAATGGATATTTTTTTTGGTCGTTTTATCGTTTTGTTTTTCATAATCGACGAATCTTAAGATACTTTTTTTTTACATTTATGTATGCATGATTTATGGTTCATATAGTATTTTATACAGTTCTATAGATATATAAAGATATATATCATATATAATTTATTTTATTTGTAAAATATATTTTTTTTTTTTTTTTTTTAGATGTTATGTGTTCGGTAAGAATTCTACCTGAATTTGAATAGATTTTGACTTGGAGTGATTTTTTAGTTTAGTTTTTCTTTTTGGAATGGGGCGCAACGTACGGAAACTGAGAAATGTCTTGGCTGTAGTTGTTAATGTTTTTGTTTTTTTTTTTTTTGTTGGTTGGTTGGTTATGGTTGGTATCGGTATCGGTATCGGTATTGTGGGTTATACGTAAATTAGAAACGCTTTCAACTGGGCTCAATTATCGATAGATCAAGCAGAAAGTCAAACAGAGAGAGAGAGAGAGAGAGAGAGAGAGAGAAATAGAATGAGAGAGAAAGGGAGAGAGAGCACTCTTTTTATACATATATAAAAATTTATTTGTATAGATAAATATATATATATATATAGTACAGTTGTAACTGATCTCTAGCCCAATTGAATATCGTTTCATAATTTTCGATTTTTTTTTTTTTTTAAGGGAATATCCCAAACGCATAGTTCAAAGCACGCGCCGATTTTCTTTGTTTTTCATTTTGCTTAGTATCGTGCGCCTTATATATTTATATATATGTATGTATATATGCAATTATTAAATATAAAGAGATATATCTCGTGTGTATATATATAATAATAATAGAAATAATAAAAATACTTTTTTAATCTTTTTTTTTTTTTTTTTTTTTTTTGCTTTGTACTTTTTTTGTTGTAGTTTAGCGCAGTTAAGAACAATATCAAAAATTAGGCTTAAGTTCAGAGTAAAAAGAACTAAAAAATTGCGATTAAGTTGAATTAAGGGCAGATAATTATATAAAGAAATAAAAAAAATTATAAAAATAATAATAAATTTCATTATTATTATCAATATGTTGGCAATATACATATATATGTATATGTAGAAACATACATATATATATTTTCATGAATTCTAATTTTTGTACTTGTTTTTTTTTTTCAATAGATTTGCATAGTAAATAATAATAATAAACATTCACATATTGGTTGCTCTTGTATTTTGTTTCTTTTTTTTTTGGTATCTTGTGTGCTTGGTATTTTGTATAGTATTTTGTTGATATTTGTTTTGGTTTTGATTTTGGGTTTCTTGTTGGGAAATTTACCTCTTGCGCTTTGAGTTTCTGCACGTGCTCTAAATCAAATTTATCGCCCTCCAATTCGTAAAGTCGTTGCCAATATTGTTTGCATATTGTTTGCAGTTCGGCTGCGGTAACGGTAAACGGTAAGCGGTAAACGGTAAACGGTAAGCGGTAACGGTTATAAATAAACGTCAATCAAACGTTCAACGCGCGCAATAGTTCGTGTGTGTGTGTGATAGAGAGAGAGAGAGAGAGAACGTGTTTGTGTGTGTGTGTGTGTACGTATGTGTGTATGTGGGTATATGTGCAAAAAGAGACGCAAATAGATCCGGTTATAAGAATAGATAAAGATAGTAAAGAGATAGAAAGACAAAGAGAGACAGAGAAAAAGAGAGAGAAAGTGTGTTTGTATATTTGTAATTTGGTTGTGAGTGTTTTTTGTTTGTTGTGAAAGACGTTTAGAGAGTAAGAGGTAAAGTGAGAGGGAGAGATAAAGAGGTAGAGAGATAGAGATATAGAGAGAGAACGAGCGTCGTTCGGCGCGTATCAGAAAAGAGAAGGAATATATTCGAAATTAATACATAATAGAGATTGAGCTTTATCCTTAGCTTTACGATATACATATATAATATTTGATTTTTTTTTTTTTTTGAACACCTCTAATTGTTGCATATACATAAATACATAATAATTGTGCTTTGATTGCTTCAATTTTCTTTTGTTATTTTATTTGATTTTTTCGTTTCAATTTTTTGTTTGTTACTTTTACATTTTACTTTGTTTGCATCGTTTTTTTTTCAGTGTAGTGCGCTTTTTTTTTGTTTTTGTATGAGTTGGGTGTCTGTTATATTTGTGGTTGTTGTTGTTGCTGTTGTGGTTGTTGTTCTTGTGGCTGTGGCTGCGTGACTGTACTTGTTTATGTGTAAGAGGCCCTGCTTATGAGCTATGTGAACGAGAGAGTGAGAGCGAAGTACGCAGCTCACTCGCTGCTGGCAGAGCAACTCGCCAATTGACTCGCTACTTTGTTTACTCGTTGTGAGGTCTACTCGCTACTCGTTGGCCATGTACTCGACCTCTACTCGCTTGTCTACCTAGGCGAGCACGTTCGTGCACTCGCTGAGCCTATTTAGCCCTACTTGGTCCCTCAGAGCGTTACTCGTTACTCGTTATTCGTTGGTCGTTGTGCGTTGTTCGTTGTAGTTCAATTAGTAAAAAGCTGTTTGCAAAATACAAAATACAAACGAAACAGCTGTACTACGACAACAAGACGACAACGAAGCCATTGATAAAAAACGTACTTAAGCTAGTTAGGAATTCGTTATTAATCTCAAAAAAACGAGAGAGTGAAAAATAAAAGCCACAAAAAGCAAAATATTGGCCAAAAATTGCATATAATTATAGATAGGTAGATAGATACTTAAGAGCTAAGAGGAAAGGTCAAAGGGCAGTAACAACAGCGTGTATTTGGCATTGTTGTTGTTATTGCTTGGCTTTAGTAGAGGCCGCGAGTTAGTTAAGGACCGTCGAGCCGACATTGAAGTCGTTCAACTATCCATTTAGCAATCGGGTTAGTTCGTTATTGGCACTACGTCTACGGGCATTATTACTCGTTTTATATACTCTTTATACTATCGCCCAGTATGTTGAACGGGTGATTGGACAAATTTTGAACAGTGCTCTCTTGATCAATTGGTATTCAAAACTTGTACTCGGGCCTCTCTTCCATATAAAATCAAAATCATGGAAGAGATCGAGATGGCAAAAATTACAGTGAACGGAGCTAACTATTATCTACGTTTACGCTAACTAATTGAGGGCTACGATTGGCGTAGCCCCGGCTGGGAACACACACACACAGACTGGCCGCCAGGGGGCGTTTTGGTGCGGGCATCGCTGGAATATTTGCATATATCTTTCAGGTGCTGCTCACAGACTATGTTTGCTATCCAAAGTGTGTGTCTGGACCCATGTTATTGACATTTCTTTGTTGTCGCAAAGAGAACTAAATCAAACTACGAAAAATTCCATCGATCTCTAGTCGAGTTATCTAGTTCCGCAACGCTTGGAGCTTGGAACAAATCCGATTAGATCGAGAGTGAGAGAAATAGAGAGAGAGAAAGAGAAAGTTATGGGTGCAACGCTTGCCTCAAAGTCCTTTCTGGCTACCTCGTGCTCCACATCGTATTTCTCAGACTCCAATTTCAGTATCTTACTGTAATAATCCTGACAAACTTTCTGTAGTGTATCTGCGAATGTGAAAACGAGTGAGTTTTGGATTTTGTGTGTGTTCTGCTTCAAAATTCGGATATGATTCGTTGTCGGGTCTCAAGTACTGCACGAACTGCAGACGAGTGTGTGTGTGTGTGTGGCTGGGTGGGTGTTGGGTGTTGTGTGTATGTGTGTAAAAGAAAAGGGCCAAGTGTGATTTGCATTTGAGTGTGTGTGTGTATTAAAAGAGAGAAGAGTTCTTTACAAAGAGAAAGAGAGATTGGACCAAAGAGAGAAAGAGAGCTAAAGAGACAAGAGAGACTTTAAGAGCACCACAGCTAGATCTGGAGCATAAATTACCTTGAATTACCACAGTAATTACTTTGGTAATTATATATTGTAACTGAAATAATTAGGTAAGAATGGCTTCAAATGCTGACAACTAAAGTGGCCCAACAGCTTGAGCTAATGGGCACATAAGTACTTACAATTACTCTGGTAATTAAAAGGAATTACGCAAGTAATTAACTAGGTAAATTGCAATGGGACCAATAGTACGCCAGTTATATTATGATAACCATAGGAAATTAGGCTTACGGATTAGAAAAAAACGAGTAGATATATAGATATTGTATATATATAGGGGGAGTATATAAGAGGGTTTATGTATGTACAAGGACTTTGGTTTTAGTTTTTAGTTTTGTTGTTTGCTTGAGTAAAAAGAATTTACTGTATACAAAATGAATTTGTACGAAAATTAAGTGTATTATACAAATATAGTTAGACAGCAATAGAAATATTTATATAGAGAAAGAGAGAGAGAGAGAGAGAGAGAGAGAAACATATATTTATATATATATATAGCTGACATTAGCTATTGATGTTGCTATTGCTGTAGCTGCTGTTGTTGTTGTTGTTAAGCGTTAAATTTTGTTTAGACTTTTGATTTTGATATATAGATATATAGATATATTTATATAAGAAATTATGATGTGGATCGCAGGATAAATAGATAGATAGATAGATAGGTAGATAGATAGTTATGTAGTAGATATGTGCGTGTACCTCAACATCCTTGCGTTTAACAACATACTCAAGATCATATTTCTGGTCCTCCAGCTTACAAATCCTGTCATAATGTTGCTTGATCAGGGTTCTCAGTGTGTCTGTGTCAATCAAAATTTGTATTTGGCATCATGACAAAACACACACAGATACAGAGAGATAGAAATGTAGACATAGGTACATATATATATATATATATATACATATTGGGTTACATTCGATATGGACATGGGTGTGTAGGTGTATAGGTGTGTGGGTGTGCGTGTGTGTGTGTGTATATAGGCAGAGACGGTCAACGGAAAGTGTGGGAGGAGAGAGAGAGAAATATAGAGAATAAGTGATATATTTCAATATATAACATATGATTATGTGTGTGTGTGTGTGTGTGTGTGTGTAGGAGGTGTATGTGAATGTGTATGTGTAAAGCGCAACTTGTTGTTGTGTTTGTTTGATCTCTTTTTTATATAGTGTATGTATGTGTGTGTGTGTGTGATGATATATGACACTTTTTGTAGACTCTAATTGTTTATGTTTCGAGTTGATTTTATTTTATTTAATTTTTTAATTTTGTAAGCTAAAAACTGCAAATAAAATTGATTTAAATTTTCTTTGCAGTTTTTTCCTTTTTTTTTTTTTTTTTTTTTTGATTTTGCTTATTTTCTTATTATTTTTTGTATTATGTTATTCTTATGAGAATTTTTGTTGTTTAATTATTTTTTTCTTTTTTTTTCTTTTTTCGTCTTCTTTTTTGATTCGCTTTCATTGATGTGTTTCGCTTGAACCGCTGGCACTCACCTTCGCTGGCATCACTGAGATTCCTGGGGCTGCCGCAACGTTCTTCAATGATGCGTCTACGTTCAGCCGCTTTGCGTTCCTGCTCTTTCTTCAATTCCTCAGCGGCTTTCTTGCGCAGCAACAACTGAAAGACGACGAAATGTCTGTATTAGTACTTGAATTGCCCACTGTGCACCGGCAGTGCTCAGTGCTGCCACCTAGCTAAAACTTTGCGCAAGTTGACAGCAATCAATCAAAGCTCTCAGTGTTGCCACCTGGGGTTGCTGTTTGCTTCTTTGTTTTTAGTATATGCAGGAGTATCAACATCTAATTTAAACTTCTCTCAATATCTTTTTGAGCGCTGCCACCTAGGTAAACCTGGCTCATCTGGCAGTACTGAGCAACATTTATAGAACCAATTTGATAGTTTCTCTATATCTATTGGCACTTCACATCTGGCAACGCTCAACACTATAAAGCTTGCAATTTCACCTCACAATTTACACAATTTACGATTCACACTTACCCGCAGTTTCTTCTTCCTTTCTGGGGTCATGAAGCCCTTCTTGGCCTTCTTGGCCTTGGAGGCTTCCTCCATGCGCTTGCGCACCTCGGCGCGCTTGCGCTCGATCTCAGCCTGTTTAGCCTTCTTAGCCTGCAAACAGAAGCGAACACACAAATCTCAATTAGCATCGTAGGCGACTGTTATCGCTATCGTTATCGCGATCGGTTTAGTTATCGCTATAGAACATGTAGATGGCACACGAAGATGACGACGTGGGACTTGGGGTTGCTTGTTGATTGGCGGTGGCGTGAACATTTCTTGGACTGGGCGAGTTGGCGCTGGCGCCCACACACACGTACACCAGTGTACCTCCTCGGCCTTCACTTTGGGATCGTTGGGATCCTTTGGCGGGCCGGCGGGCGCGGCGGGTGCGGCAGCCGCTTTGCCATTCGCAGCGGGCGCAGCGGCCGCTTTGCCGTTGGCGGCGGCGGCGGCTGGGGCGGCGGCGGCCTTTGCAGGGGCAGCAGCTGGAGCTGCTGCGGCAGCGGGGGCAGCTGGTGCCGCTGCAGCCTTTTTCTGCAATTGCACAGAGAAGACGATAAACGATTAGTTATCGAACAGTGTTTCGGTAGAACAGAAAATTAACATAGAGAGCAACGACGCCACACAGACAGCACAACGACAGAACGAACAGTGGACAATCGATAAACGACAATCGACAATCGATAACATTGATCACTTGACAGTTCGTCCATGGCAGTTGTGTATATCGGAACTAGAGCGCCAGCTGCGAAAGCAAGAGAAGCCAGTGCATGCGAGTAAAGGTTTAGCGAGCGCAAAGACTAAATAGCTGAGCCTGGTTAATCGTGTAGTTAATTTCGATTAGATTCGATATTTACATCTAAATGAATTCAATGAACTCACCTCGACCCAGTTGCGGCGCCCAGCAGTTCGCCAGCTTCCTGTTCCGTATGCCCAGTGCCTAGATCTGCCTAGATTTTGACGCTTTTCAACACTGTTTCAACTGCAATTCGTACATTGATTGAGTGCCTTTCTATGCGATTCACAGCACATATGCGATACTCACCTCACCTCATCATCAGCCATTTTGATTTGTGTTTTTTTGAGTTACTGCAAGTAAAAAGAGTTGAGCACCAAACGATGAGTGTGTTTTGAATGAGTCCCAATGCAAATGCCGACTAATGCAAAAGCTCTTCAGGCACGCACACTCACACACTCGCACACATACACACACAGCTTGCTAATAATGCGTGGGTGTTTGCCGACAGGCTGTCATTTAATTGGCTGTCGGCAGATGTTCCATAAATTCAAAATAATTAACTGTCTACGCACACACATGCACACACACACACACTTATATATTTTGTCGGCGAGCACAGTGCGTATGCGCAATGCATATAAACGAAGCGATTACGTATACGGCATCGCTGGCGCACCGTATATGGGGGCAGTGCCTGCTGATCGCGCACTCTCGCTCACTCTCTCTCTCTCTCTCTCTCCCTGTCTGTCTAGCTTGGGTGTGCAAGCAGGACAGCCTGTTTAGCCAACCATCCATATCCAATTACAGGCGTCAGAATGAGAGAGCAAGCCAAAGAGAGAGCGGGAGAGTGAGAGAGGCAAAGAGAATGCGCGCACTCCATGCACTCACGCACAGTGAAAAGCTCTCACTAGAAGCTTTCGCAGCAACAACAACAAAAACGGCGTTTTTTTATCACAACAACAACTGTTATGGTCTATATAGGCTATATAAATACCGTTATTGCCAAACGAATCGAGCTAAAACCGAAGGTTGCGCCACATTTCAAAGGCGTTTTTAGCATTCAATGGAAGAAACTGAGGCAAAAGCTTATGGAACTTTAACACATATCTCTGAACGCTATATAGAACAGATATGGCAGATGTGTTATAAGTATATATATATATCAAATAAATATATATTTATCTACATTATATTTCAGTATATATAGCATAGATTGACTATGCGCATATAAATAAAATATTTTAGACGCCTTCGCTTCGAATGCTTCGAATGCTTTTCGAAAAGTAGCTGAGTTCTTTGTCATATAGCGATATGTTATAGTAGATAGTATATAGACAGTTGATATTACTGATCTAAAGGATATGTTTTATGTCAGCATAGATACATATACATATATATATATGTAGTATACTACATAATAATATAAATATAATACATATATGCATATATAATATATCTAGACCAAAGTATCTAGAATCTTATTTGTGAACTCTATTGAAGAGTTGTTGAAAAATGATTTTCATCCTGATCTTTAAAAGTGAAAAATGTTATTCATTATGAACTCAAAAGTCCAGCTATAGCTAGAAAGAGCTAAAAGTAGCTGTAAGTAGCTATAATCGAGCTGAAATTATATAGCAAGATTTTAATTTGAAAGCCTAATCATTTCGAGTGCATTTATATTATCTGTAACCGGATAACTATTTGAATTAACTAATTCTTTGAAATTTGTTCCATAAGCTTCATAATTTCTTCGATTTTCATGCGAAAACGAAAATATTTCAAAATTTTAAATTCGTTTTCAGATCGAATTTTGTGGCTCTGTTAACTACGCATATGAAATGTATACGCGTGTGTGTGTGTATGTGTGTCTGTGTGTCTGTGTGTATGTATGTATGCGTGTGTGTTTGTCTGTTTGTCTGTGTGTCTGTGTGTGTGTGTGTGTGTGTGTGTGTGTGTACAATGGCATATTTCTATTTTGGGTAACAGTTGTTGCTCTTGTTGCTGCTGTTGTTGCTATCGTTTTTGCTGTTGCTGTAGTTGCTGTTGTTGTTGCTGTTGCTGTTGTTGTTGTTTTCGCTGCTTGGCGCTGAGATGTTCGCATTGAATTGTTGCTGCTGCTCTGCCTCTGGCTCTGCCTCTGACTGTGGCTATTGCTCACACGAATGTATCTTGTATCTGTCAGCTACATTTTTAGCTTTTGCACGCATACACATGCACGCACATACACACACATACACATTCCTTACATAATCGTTGCGTTCAACAACAATTATGAGATAAGTTGGCAAAAAAATTCGATCCAAAAAAAATTTAAATATGCTTTATCCAAAGTATCTGTATCTTTAACTTTAGCGTTTGTATCTTTTTGCGCTTTTCATTCATTTCTTGTGCGTTTCACACTTGAGCACTTGAAAAAAAAATATTTCAAAAAAATATATCGAAGTATATACTAAAAAAAATAGAAAAAAAAATAAAAAAATAATGTTTTTTGGTTTTTTTTTTTTTTACGAAGATAGTTAGGATCACGCGCACGTTTTGACCTCGTTGTAGTTCTTTAAAAGTTACATTTGGAGCACTCGATAGATTCAGCAAAATTTTGATTTGATGCATTACAATTCGTATGCTTCTCCTTTTAGTTTTTGAATTTGGATTGATTGTACGTTGAGTTGGGGTTTTCTTGCGTTTCGACAATGCGTGGCTGGTTCATGGTTTCAGTTACTTGGTTGGGGCAATTCGCACAGTTGGTGCGCCAGCAACCCACTCACCTTCAAGGAATTGGAAAAAAAATGAAAAAAAAACGTTGAGCGATGCTGTCGATCACACGAATCGGATGGTACTGAACGACACAAAAAGACTGAACGGTCCGACGATCCACGGCAGACTATATTCTAATGGCAGCCAACCAGTGGATACAGATACCGATTCGGATTCAGATTCGGATTCTGCACACACTCACACACACACACTCGTGTACATGTATGTATGTGTAAATATATATGTGCCGCCCACCTGCCCGTCCTTCGATGATTGCGTTTTTGTCGAGGGCGAAGGGGGACGCGAGCGCTCTCTCTCTCTCTCTCTTTCGCTAGCTAGCGCTCGCTAAGAGAGCGTGTGTGTGTGTGTGTGTGCGTATTTGTATCTGTATCTGGGCGCACGGCCTAAAAATAGACGCCGCTGGCAACCCAAATCGAAATGGATACCGAAAATCTGTGTTGGCCACAATTCGTACGCTCCACACTGAGCGACAATCCGAGCAGCCTGTTGCAGGCGGCCAAGCACTTGGAGAAATCGCCGAAAGCCTCTATAGAACTATATGTATAATTGTAGCTATATCACATACACACATATATATAACAATCTATCTCTCTCTCTCTCTCTTACTCTCCCTCTCTCTCTCTGTTTGGCTGCATGTGTGTGCGGTGTAAGCGGAGCCGCTTGGAATTTAATGCATGTGTTAAAAATAAGTTTGCTCCAGTTGAGCACTGAGTGGGCCAGCAGGGGAGAGATTCTGGCCTCGGCCGCACTCCCCCGGCCCCGTCTGCTGCTCCATATGCAATTGGCCAGGCATGGAGACGGCAGCAGAGCATTGGCCACGCACAAGTCAATTGCCCGAGCTGGTAATGCCCAGCCCTGGCCAGAGGCAGCTGCGCCTCGGGCTTCAGTTGGATATTCAAACATTTCAAATGTACAATAAAAGTATTTTCCAGTTTCAAAAATAAAATTATAATATAAGAAATGGAAAATGAGAAAAAAAAAAAACAAATATATGTATATACAATCTATTTCTTATATTATAATTACATTTTTTAAATATATTTATTTTAAAAATAAACAACTTATATTTTTATATATTATATATATATAGTAAGCAGCTAAAATCTATGTGAAACAAACAAACATAATTACTTATTTATATTCACACTAAACTACAAACAGATTTCATTCGAAAAAAGTCGTCTTAGCACTGTGGATAGACTCTCTTTCTACTCCTCTCCATTCTATTCTGAATGAGGTGCAATTCATATATTTCCATAATGCATTAGCTCAGTTTTCATCAAAGCAAGTTAAAAAACTTTAAGGCATAAGAGCTAATTTGAAGAACCATAATAAATTTTATGGTATGTAGTTTTGGTTTTACTATTCGACAACCCCCCTTCAATCGTATTTATCTTACTCAATTAGCCAATCACAGTTAGTTCATTCTTTGAGAAGGATCATAAGGATAAACATTTTTATGGAAAGAGGGAAGTTTTCACTTTTGGAAATAAATAAAAGATAGGGGCTCAGCTTACACCCCGTATTGAAAATTAGAATAAAAAATAAAAAAAATTACTTAAAACAGAATGCTTTGTATTACATTTGTGGAAATCAGAAATTCTTCGGAAAAGACGATATAAGTAGCACTAACATATAGGGCAGAAGGGCTTTGCTGATATGACAGGGCTATGCTGACCTTGACATTGTTTTTAAATGCTCAAGTCGGCAGTGCTTAGCTAGGGGATACCCGGCACCCTGTGCAGTGAATGAATTCTGAATATAATAATTTAAAATATGTATGTAAAGTCGTTTGAAATTAAAATCTATAATAATAGTAGTAGGAAAAGTAGGAGTAATAATAATAAAAGTTAAGTTGATCAAATATCTTACCAAATAGCAGAAACGTAAGCTCTACTTATCAAAATGGTAAATTAGCGTGAAAAATGATTTCTTTTTATATTCAGTACACTAGAATAAGAGTATTAGACAAAGATATTGAAATGAATCATAATCAGTTTGAGATCTGACATGGATGCTGGTTTCACTATTAAGCTACATCTTTTCTACTCCAAATCAAAGAACAGCTCATTCAAAAAGATTTCTTTGCTTTTCAAGTATTGTTTGATGTGTAAAATTCCATAGAAGGGTTGATTTAACATATGTAATCTTTGATTTGCTCCTACAATGGGGCTTCGAAAGTGGAGAGGGCATAAACGTATATTCTGATGTTAGGTCGTTCATGCAAAAATCCTAAGACAAATTTTGATTTTATATATTGCAATGGTGCTGAGACGGTCTTCTGATGTTAGATGTTTTATTTCAAACTCCTAAATCAAATCTTGTTTGTTCAGCATAAATAAATAATCCAATTGCATTCTGATTAATTCTAATGAATTTGAAATGTGTAAAACTGTGTGGAAATGAAGACCGCTAGCTACCTATACACTGCAACAAAAGCATGAGTCGACAGAGCGACTGTTAAACAAACAAACAAACCGATAAACGAAACGGAAAATCATTTGAATTGAAATTTGAAAGCTAAGCTAATGTGCCTAAGCAGCTGAAAGCACACAGAATTTCGCATCAAATAAAAGTTTTGATGGAATATGATGTGTGAAATATGTTTAGGTTTTTCAAAACTTGCACTTCAGCTGACGTAATAACATCAACAATTTAGAAATACAATTACTTCTATATATTTCTAAAATATTCAATTAATACAAGAAAAAAGGAAAAGCAAGAGCAAAAAGTATATTTAGAATAACAATTGAGTGCGGAAATCTTGCCCTCGACTGCAACTGCGGGCGCATAATATATAGTATATAGTATATAGTATACATTTAAATTATACATAAATATAGAAGCATATATACCTATATATACATACACATAGTTATGTCTTATGGGAAACATATGTATATAGATTTTGGCAAAAGCCGTGCGAGGATGACGCTGCAACGCGTCGTATGCGCAATTTGCCAAAGACCAAACAATCAGAAAAACAAATCAGACAAAACAGACGCAGCACAAGTCACAGATACACATGCAGCAACAGATACCGATACAAATACAGGTATATATATCTGTCAGATACAGATATACGCAGCTGCCTTGCAGTTCGTGCTAATGTGCAAAAATTTCACAAAAATCCGAAGCAAAAATAATTGTTGCTGTTTTATCTTTTTATTGTTGTATAAATTGTTATTGCTATTGGCATTGTTGTTGCTGTTGTTGTTGTTGCTGTTGCTGCTATGTAGCCTCTCAGCATCGTTTGAAGCAAACGCCAAAGGCAACAGCAAATTTTCTAGCTAAACTTTTCAGTCACAAATATGTATAAATACATATACACATGCAAACAGACCTATATATATGCTTGTATGTGTGTGCGTGGGCGTGTGTGGGCGTGTGGGCGTGCACACATAACCATACACATTCATGCATATATATATATTTATATATATTAAATATGTATCTACTTCGATCTGTGTAAATTTTGTGTTGAAAAATACAAAAACGAATTTCGTTGCTCAAATTTTGTATTTCGAAATTGTTATTGTTGTTGCTGTGTATTTTTTTTTTTTTTTTTTTTTTTTTTTTTTTTTAATTATTTTTAAGAGATTTTTGAATTTCCTTTGGTCGGCCGCGTTTTGTTTTGTCTTCATTTTTAAATAGAACATTTTAGGCAGCCAACCATGTAGCGCATTAGCCATCGCATCCATCAGATACGATGAGACATTTCACCAACGGAACAGAACAAATTGATGAAATCCCTTACGAGCCGAAAACTTGTTACGAAAATGCGGAATTCAGTTTCAATTTTCCTATTGATATATTGCAAATATATACATGAATACAATATTATATTTATATGACATATTAGGGAAGATCACTTTTATAAGCAAAGTTTCAGAGGCCCAATTCACAGTGTTCCCATATGTTTCACTTTAAATTTCATTCCTTATTCTTCCAAATGAAAGCTTTTGTGGTATACACCCTCTTATATATACTTATATTTTATATTATTCATTATATTATATTATGTGATCATATTATTATATTATGTGATCATGTTCCATTCTGCACTACATTGTGTGCCATGGCTATGCAACCAATCAATGGGCTATGCTATTTTACATATTTCCATTCCACGTTTCATATCATGATATATTCAATGATAATGAAACCGAATGTATGTTCCATTCTGCGTTTCATTCCACGATTTATTCAATATTCCATACCCTGTTCCATTCCACGCTACAGACTGCATGTTGCCTTGTTCCTTTCAGTGTTCTATTTTATGTTCCATTCCGTGTTTCATTTCGTGCTCTTCCATTCCTGGTTTTAGTCAATGTTCCAGTCCATGTTCCATTCGATGTTACATGGTGAATTTCACTACATGCTTAATTGATCCTTTCCGTGTTCCATTCCATGTTCCATTCTATGTTTAAATCGCTTTTAGCGCCTATTCGATGAATTTACTTTAAAGTAGGCACTCGACCAATTCGTCTATGCCTCAACTGCTGCCGCTGCTACTGGCTGTTTATACTGCTGCCCTATTCGCGCTGCCCCTCTCCCCTTTCCCCACTCCCATCCCATCGCATCTATTTTTAATGCTGAACATCGTTTGAAACAGTTTTGAACAGATTTTTAGTAAATGGCTAAGCAAATTTATGATGCCTTGATATTACTTTCTTCTCTTCAGAGTGTGTGAGTGAATGTGTTTTTGTATGTGTTCCTCTGTGTGTGTGTGTGTGTGTGTGTGTGTGTGCGAATGTTGTTTTGCTTTTTGGTCAAGTTTTGTTGTGCGCTATTTTGGGACTTTGGCAAACAGGAAACGGCAGGCGGGCGGGCATTCGGTTAGCACAGATCAAGGTAAGAGTTAAAGGCTCACAAATACTCAGACAGACACACACATGTGCATTCATACACTCATGTGAGGTGTGTATCAACATCATTGGAGTGCGTCAAAGCAATAGCAAACGTCATAAGTGCAGCCGCAATTTGTTGTTGTTGTTGTTGTTGTTGTTGTTGTTGTTGTTTTCTTCTTGTTCTGCTTTTGAGCTCTTGCCCCATTGTTGGCAGCTGCAACCCCATTAGCCTTGTGCTCTACCTGGCAACAATTTGACGCCGTTTGCTGCG